AAAGTTGTGAGCAAACAATTTGGCTACTGCATAAATTACTTTGCTCTGGAGCCATCCTTCCTGAGCTAAGACAAAAATGTGTGAGCCGGAGGCTGAAAAACATTGAGCTGGCTCGCACTAACTCAGCTTAGAGGGAACACTGGTCACAGGAGTAAATAGCGGTGCACAGTGGTAATGAGTCCTGAGTTCAGGAGGGAGATGGTGTTTTGGTGGCTTGCTAGCTAGAATGATGGGCTGATCAGCACAAGGGGGCTATCCCCTGCGGTGGTGCTGGATGGGGCAAATCTCAGGTGTGCCATTTGATTGCCTTGGTGCTCTCCTCATGTGGAAAACAAACTTGGGAGCCTTGGGTGTACGGTGCCTTTTCCATTGAGCCTTGCCTGTCTCTGCAGAACTTTGCCCTGCTCTGTATGTTCAGTATCAGCTATAAGATTCATGCATAGTGCTAAGTGCCCTATGCTGTGTCTCATATCTATATGCCCAGTTGTGTGACTTTGGAGAACTGCTCTCGAGAATGTGAGGCATGGGTTCTGGCCTCCGTCTTCTGTTTTGCTTTAGCTCAGCCTTTTGCTGGGCAAAAGGTGAGCTGTGCATTCTCGTCAGCATTCCCCTTTTTGGGAACTGAACCCATGCCTGCCACATGGGTACCATTTCGTATTGAGATGCTGGAAAGAAGTATGATAGAAGTGCCTTTTCTGCTATCCTTTGCTGTTGCCTCGTTGTCTTGCCTGGCATGAGGCTGGAGTTCCTGAGTTCCACGCTGGCATGGATCGTAACCTTTGAGCAGGAGAAGGGTTGGGTATTTTGCCTCTGTTGGGTGAGTTACACGAGCGTGAGAGTGTTGTGGCTGGCTCTGAGGTGGCCATGTTTCCTTCCTTGTGCATCTCCTTGGCAGAAGTGAACTCAGCTTCAGGCAGGGACTCAAACCTACACTTGCAGAGCTGTTTGGATAGGCTGATTCTGTAGCTCCTGCCAGTCAAGCCATGGCAACTCCTTCCAGTGGTGCAAACTATATTCTTTATATTCTCTGAATTGTATATTCTGCATACGGGAGGCAACAGTTTACCATCAGGAGGCTGTGGCTGCACTGTCCTGCATTGGCTGACTCTGTGTCACTCACAAGAGCATTGGTGGCATGCTGTACCATGATTGGATGTCTTGGGGGTTGCTGTGGAGTCCTTTGTAATCACTATGCTGTCTGCAGGTTGTCATGACTTGTTTCGGTCACTTATTCCCCCTGTGGTGCTGGTACCTCACTAGTGTCATTAAACCACTCCTCTCATAGTGTTCTGGTTGGGTTTCTGTGTGACTTATATGATGTGACTGGCATACTAGTATAATTAGCTGGTACCACTGAAACTGTAGACAGTGATGATAACGTTGGAGGAAGTTAGCCATTGGAATCCTGCCCTGTAAGTAGACAAAGAAAAGATGTCAATGCAGTTAGTTGATACTGCGCTGCGTTTTGCATGCACTGACGCTCAATACAAATTTAGAAGTAAAAGTGTAAAAATATTCCTATTTTAGACATTATTTTGTATCACACAGCTGCATTAAAAGGGTGAGCATACTTTTTAAAGTACTTTTTTTGCTCAGAAATGAGAATTTATGTACCCCAGATCTATGGCCATGGGACACAGGGAAGTCATTAAGAAAGTAGTATGAAATAAGAATGTTTACTAACTTGACAAACATGTTCAGATGTGTTAGTTTGGTGTAGTGGTTAAGTGTGCGGACTCTAATCTGGGAGAACCAGCTTTGATTCCCCACTCCTCCACTTGCACCTGCTGATGTGACCTTGGGTCAGTCACAAGCTCTGGCACAGCTGTCCTTGAAAAAGAGCAGTTTGTGTCAGAGTTCTCTCAGCCCCACCCACCTCACAGGGTGTCTGTTGTGGGGAGGGGAAGGGAAAGGAGTTTGTAAGCCGCTCTGAGACACCTTTGGGTAGTGAAGGGCGGGGTATAAATCCAATCTCTTCTTCTTCTTAGTTTTATCACCTTTGAAGCAACTTCCTTTTGAAAGCAAGCAGTGATCATTACATTGTTTTGTTTGGGAAACTGGTCTTGCATTTCTTTGTAGCATTGTTTGCATTTTGCATTATGGTCATATAGGTAGAGAATGTCATTAAAATGTTATCCTGTAATATCTAGTGTGAGATCACTCAAGGCCTGTAGGCTAAATGAGCAGTATCATTAAAGTAAAATATTATCCTGGCTTTATCAGATTCTTTAGGCAATAAGAAAAATAACCATATTTTTGTCTTAAATGTGGTGACATTTTAAATGAGAATATCAGTGAAGTTGAATAAAAAGCAATCTTTGTCTTCAGTGCATCATATGTAATATGTATTAATATGGAAGATTAATATGGAAGATTAATATTATTTCTACTACATAATTAATATGTGGTATTGAAGTCCCAATAAAAGAAATAACACTTGGTCCGATGCATTTTGTTCATTAATGATTTGAAGTTGGGAGTAAGCAGTGAAGTGGCTAAATTTGCGGATGACACAAAGTTGTTCAAGGTGGTGAAAAGCAGGGAGGATTGTGAGGCGCTCTAAAGGGATCTGTTGTGGATGGGTGAGTGGGTGTCAATGTGGCCATTGGATTCAGTGTGGCCAAGTGCAAAGTAATGCACATTGGGGCCAAAAATCCTACCTGTAAATACATGTTGATGGGGTCCGAACTGGTGGAAACTGACCAATTTATGTCACTTGTACTAGATAACTCACTGAAAATGTTGAGACAGTGTGCGACCGCAATAAAAAAAGCCAATGCTATGCTGTGGATTATTAGGAAGGGAATTGAAAACAAATCAGCCAGTATCATAATGCCCCTGTATAAATCAATGGTGCAACCTCATTTGGAATACTGTGTAGAGGTCTGGTCACCACACCTGAAAAATGATATTATAGCATTGGAAAAAGTGCAGAAAAGGGCAACTAGAATGATAAAAGGTTTGGAACACTTTCCCTATGAAGAAAGATTAAAGCACTTGGGGCGCTTTAGTTTGGAGAAATGGCGGCTGAGGGGTG